GGAAGGGTTGGACTCAATGAGCTTAAATGTCACTTCCAGCCAGAACAATTCTGTGGCACAACAGTTGTGACATATCAGCACAAACTACTGGTCTTGCCCAGCCAAAACCACTGAGGAATGATGACTTAGAGAGGGCCCTGCTGTCAGTGTTGGAAGAGCTGTCACCTCAAATCCTGCACTCCACAGAGGAGGTCAAGGCTACTGCTGCTGCCTCTTTTCCTTTGTTCTATACTAGTGCCTAGTGGAAAGAGCAGAAATTGGAACTAGGATGCATGTCAAGGAAGGATTTTATGGGTAAACAGTTGAGAAATTCACAGGCCCATGGAAAAGAAACTTCCTAAGTTCAGCTCTTTAATGTGCTGCAATTTACTGTCCCATTTCCTTCCCTTCCTAAGACCAGGGAGGTGAAATAATGAAGCATTTTGCTTCCTCCTCCCAGGGAAGCAAGACAAAGAGGGCAGGGAAAAGAGCATAAGAATCCCAGGAGAGGAAGAAATTTCCCAGTATGGGTAATAGGCAGTATGCTGGGAAGGGTTTTTATTTAATCCTAGTGAAGTTTGTGCTGAGGGGTCACCATCTGCAGCCAGGAACCTGACAACATGGCACTATCTTGATCTAAGTAACTCCCCTTCCACGCTGGCACTTGTGCCTCCAGATGAAGCAATCACAGAAAGTGGTGGCCAATTACATCTGGACTTGTGTTTACAATTGACCTAAAATAGGATCCCCTACTCTCTACACCTCACCAAGGTCCCTGTTCCACACAATTTCACACAGCACCTTCCTAACTGGAGCAGCTTAAACCAGCACACTCCAAAGCTAAGTTGCTGCTCTCTTTATAACACTCTGCAGCCTCCAAAATCTTGGACCTGGTGGGGTGATGAGGCAGATGTGGAGCCAGATGGGGTGATGAGGCAGATGTGGAGCCAGATGCACAAGGTCTAGAGGAGGAGGAGGAGGAGCAGTGAGCACCAGCAAGCTCCATTTACAGACTGCTAAATCTCAGGCATGTGCTTCTCCCACTTGTCCCAGCACTTGTAGCTGGGAGGATTACAGAGCAGATGAGAGGTCAGGGGTAGCTCTCCTCAAACATTCTGTTCTCCAGGCTGGTGCAATCTCATTTCACAATGGAAAAAAAATCAAGGTTCCTCTTACTTACAAGCTACCCACCCAGAGCAGTGGGAGCTGCTGGCACCTTTCAGATGACTCACCACGAGCTCCCCTGTGAGGGACAGGGGCAGATAACAGCAGAGGTGGCTCAGCTGAGAAAACCCTCCTCTGGATGTGGAGCAGCTCAGCTCCAGAAGACCCTTGCACCAGTCTCCTCTGCTGTGTGGAGCAGAGATTATCATCTTTACACATCACCCAGAAAGGATTACACCACTTTTTGAGCACTATGTGTGGAAGGGAGGGTAAGTCACAGCCTCACAGTTCTCCCATGTGCCAACAAGCAGAATCAAACCCAGGATTCCCTGCTCCAAAGGAGCCCACACTCAACCCCCAGACACCCTGTGAACGTCCAGGAAGTTAAATAAGGTGTCTGGCTTTTCCTCTTTACTGCAATACTTTGGGAAAGCACCCTCTGCCTGCAAACCCCCCCTGCAGTTCTGGTAACACTTTGGGCAGGATTTGGAATAAGGGAGCAGCTGGCAGAGCCAGAGAGCTGGCCAGACAAAGTACAAGTAGGGGGGAGTCAATCATTAGCTAGATAGACAGGCCTTGAACCAGATCACTGCAGCAGCTGCTAACGAAGTCATTCCCTCTTGCTCCCAAACGAACTTTGCTCCTGTAATGACTGACAGCTGATGCAGCAATAAGCCAATGAAGTCTATAAAAATCTCCCTGAAGCCTGGGAAGTTCTGTTTGGGGCTCTTCCTCCCTCCCTCCGCCCACGGCTGCTCCCGCTGGCAGCTCCTGCTGTGAAGATGCACTGCTGGAAGGTCACGGCAGTCCTGCTGCTCTGCTCGCTGCTGCTCAGCCAGGTAAAGGGAGAACCAGCTGGAGTGCTCGCTCCAACAGAGCCTGGCAGGGGTTGTGTGAGGATAACGGGCAGGAGGTGGAGGTGGCAGCAGAGCCTCTTCGGGAGGATTCAGTGTAAGCAGAGCCTAGAGAACGCTGGGTTACTCTGAGACCTAACTGAGCAAGTAATTCTGCCCTCCCTCCCCAGCAGGCTAAAGACTATAGTTAATTGTTATACTTCTTTGGGGTTAGGACACAAGCAATTAGACATTAATGCTGTGATCTGAAAACGAGAAAGATTTCGAGTTCCTCGCTTAAAATCGAGACTCTTGGTCTGGGATGGGAGGGGCCGAGCGCTCCCGGCCGCCGCACGCTGACACTCCCGGCTCTGTTCCAGGCACCCGGCGCTTCCCTGCAGCACCAGCAGCACCAGGAGCAGCAGCAGCAGCGGGAGCAGCCCTGGCCCGCCCGCCGCAGGCGCATGACGCCGTTCTGGAGGGGAGTCTCGCTGCGGCCCGTGGGAGCCTCCTGCAGGGACAGCAGCGAGTGCGTGACCATGCTCTGCAGGTAACTGCTCCCGAGCTGGCCTCAGGCAGGGGCCATTCCCACCTCTTCTCACCCAGCCGAGACCTGGAGTTAATTCTGTACACGGAAGATACCAGGAATAGGGATGGGGCAATAGGTTGGGACTTCTTTTGTAAGCAGTGCAAACAGAGCAGAGTCCGTGTGCCCTTGATTAGCAGCCCCAGTCCTCTCCTTGCAGCCCCAAATAACCTGTGCTTTACAAAAGGAACATCGAATTCCAGACAGCTTTTAGGTAATCACTTGGGAGACCTTAAAATTAAGCCCTCTTAAAGCCAAGCTACTCTTCACTTTAAAGCATACATTAATCAAAACAATATCTTACCCTAGATTAATCACTTTAAGGTGATCATTTACATAGTTTAAACGACAGTTAAGCCATCAAAAGCCATTTAAATCTCATGCACACCAGGCATGAACAAAGTGTCCAACCCCATGTAGCTACATTGCTTGGTTAAACTCACTCCTTAGTGACTGAAGGGCAGTTGTGTGGCACCCACAGCAGAAAGCAAACAGAGCCAGGCAGAACACATCCATTGTCTACACAGGTTTTACAGGCATTACCCAGAGTGGAGCAGCTCTCCTACGAGGACAGACTGAGGGAGTTGGGGCTGTTCAGTCTGGAGAAGAGAAGGCTCCGAGGGGACCTTATTGTGGCCTCCCAGTATCTTAGGGGGGCTACAAGAAAGCTGGGGAGGGACTTTTTAGGATCTCAAGTAACAACAGGACTAGGGGGAATGTGGCAGAGCTGGCAGTGGGCAGATTCAGGCTGGATGTGAGGAAGAAGTTCTTCCCCA